CAAGTACGTAGTACTATGAATATAACTCGTAACTGTGTATTTATACAAATATTTATCATTATATATATATATATATATATATGTATATGTAGTGAACAGATTGTTTACTGGCAACTTAAGGAAAAAACCGTTGAATTTGTTCCTATGCTATCCTATCCTATATTCAGGTAATTATGATCTCGTATTATGTGTCGTAAAAAGATATTTCACGTTAAATCGTTTATAGAAAGTATCAGAATATTGCTGTTTAATAAACCAAATCCAATAGATTTTTTGTAATCCTATTTGGAGTTGATAGTTAGTATTCTGCAATTTTGCATTTTCTAGATCCTTATCTATAGTGCCATTTGTCTGTGCCATTTGTCTATAGTACCCCTACGTCTTGCTTTATATTAAAATCCCGTATAACTAATTTCTTTTTGTGCAATTTTAGAAATTGATTCAATCACTATAATAATTTACAATTGATGTAAGTTTTATCTAATGTGATAAAGGATATCGTCTATCAATTCTGCATTTATAAATAAGGCATCACATGCAATCTAAGGCATTCTTACCTTTTAGGTTAGGTTTGCTTTTATTAAAAATATGCACAATTAAACTAAAAACTCGATATTGCATCAAATCATTAAAGTATATTCATTTTTATTAACTTCCCGTAGGGTAAGTTAAGTAATCGCAAAAAAATCGAAAATGAAAATTTTTGCATTTCTCGACGTTTCAAAGGTTTCTGAATATTTTGGCATACCTTAGAAAAATGGATGTATGTATGTGTGTGTGTGTGTGTGTGTGCGTGTGTGTTCGGATACAAATTCTCGACGATTTCGAGAACACCGATCAACCGATTTAAATAATTTAACTAGCTGTAAGTGGAATTCTGTCTTAAGGCAATTAAGGCATCCTGCCTTAAGGCAAATTGTTGAAACTTCCCGTACCAAAAATTATTAGTTTTTTAAAAACGATTAACATTTTTGAAAAAAATTTACTTCGAAAAGATTAGATTTTTGAGAAAGGGATCGTTCAAGTATTACGTAAGCAGATTTATTACAATTATTTACCCCCCCATCCCCCTTGTCAGCAAAAGTAAGCAAAGCTCTTACCCCCTACCCCCATGCTTACGTAAACATTTTGCAAGCAATTTGCCTTAAGGCACGATGCCTTAATTTCCTTAAGACACATTTCCACTTACAGCTAGTTTAAGCTCTATTTACGCCAACTAGTACTTTTGTTGTAACAACCTTTTGTAATAACAACAATGACAAGAAGGACTACCTTGAAACTTGAACTTTTTTTTATTTTTGTTTGACGTTGAACCGTATTCTTGAAATATTTATTTGCAGTCTAAACAAAAAAACAACGAATAATTTTCCAAACCATGAAAAACAAACAAAATTAACACATTGTTTTAAAAACTTAAAAAAAATTGATCAATTAACAAGATTGATCTGGGCAATATTTTACTAATCATGAATGTTCTGAGACTGAGCTTGGTGTCCAAACATACAATTCAAACGGTGCCGAAATAAGGATGTTCTAATATGAAATAAGCCAGGAAGAAAATCTAAGTATAAAAATGCATCAGTACGTTCCTAGGATATGAAATTGATGGTGGAAAAAATTAAACTATCAATTTATCATGCTATAAACGTGTTCAGCTGCTTTTTAGCTCCAAATTTTATAACAATTTGTAGCTTTGATAACAATTATTCATTTTGCATTTTAAGTATACAATAAATAACTTTCGTTAATATCATAGTTTTCAGTAAAAAAAATAATAATTAATAAATAAATTAAAGTAATTGAAAAAAATATATAAAACCCGCAACTTAATGTGTTCATATTTTTGATAATTTTACACGGATAATGAGTCAAATCAAGGTCTTCAATAAATTTTGTGCAAAAATAAAGAGTGTAGTGTGGTCGTGTTTACATAATTAATAAATGTATGTATATATATACAACACACCCAATCCGATACTAGTTTTTAATTTAAAACTTTCACCTTTCAACGTTTGCCAATGAGACACCGGCTGAGACATTCATATACAATCTTGTATTCATGCATATATACTCATTTGTATCCATAAGTATGTGATTATATATATATATATATATATATATATATATATATATATGCACTGATACTTATGGATGTATATTTTACTATATAGACTATATATAGAAATCATTTTTAAAATTTCCAAATATATATGACGACCTTGTATCTAGTAAAAACAGGAGAAATTGATTGACATTTTGATAAACGTTTAGCAATGTATCTATTAATATTCATGTATAATTTTACCAAATTTAATGAGGTCTATTAGCTTTGTCAACTTTTTTATTTGCTTTTTACATGACCCATTCATATTTCATGCTATATATAACTCATTTTTCTCTCACTAATTTGTAGAATTAGTGATAGACAAAAATTAAATTTTGTGTATAGAGGAGCTTTCATTTATAATTTTATTAAACGTTGGGTCACTAATGAAGCTAAAACATTTTATATATATTTTTTAAATTTAAACATATTGAATATTTGCGCTCATAAAACAGAACAAAAAAGTTGTCAAATGGCTTTTATTGAATATAATAATTATATTGTCAGAAATACAATTAATATGTGATTGACAAGTACAACTATGTCGATGTTAGTATTCAAAATTATTTATAGTCCTTTTATCTTGAAATTTTGTCTTATATTTTTGAGTTATTTTTTGTGGTTTTAGATAATAGATATATTTGTATATCTATATATATATATATATATATATATATATTTATTTATTTATTAATTGACTCTGTAATGCATAATGTTTCTTTTAAAGATGTTTCGATTCTATACCAGAACCCCATACTGACAAAAGTTTAATATTATATTTCGAATCACATATGGATTATTCTCATATTTTCCTTCGATTAAATTCCATATCTTTTATATTTATAAAAAACATAAAATATATTTTTTATTTTAATTATATAAATATCTTTGTGAATATTAATTTTCACATTATAAAAGCCAAAGTTTAATTATATATGGCAACAAAGCAATTACAACAGATTTTTACCACAAAATTTTACGCGTACATATAATATAGTTGAACATACTTTTGAATTAATTGGTTTTAAAATGTTTCAATATTATTTGTTATTTTTTACCCTGATGTCCTGATGATGAGACACAAGGTTTCGAAACGTTTATAGCGTATAAAATTATTTAGTAATATTAAAAAGTGATATGTGTTCATATATACATAATTTATAAAATATTTTATTATGATTATTGAAATGTATATTATTGCTGAATAAATGTTTCCTTATAGTGCGAGTTTGAAGGTATTGGCTTAGCTGATGTCTTAATGATGAATCCAGTACCTAGTGTTCATGTATACTTTCAGACATTAATTTTGTGTAAATTGAGGCATCTTAAAAAACTATTAAATATATAACAAATAAACATCTGCAATTGGCTTGTAATCATCTTATTTTGAAATTTCAAATAACCAAAATGATTTCTGCTGTTCGACTCAAAAATTCAAACCGAGGTATCTAATTATTGTCTTTGCAAAGACGTAGAAATGTAAGGTAGATGTCTTTTGTACTCAGTCTCAAAAAAGCAATAAAATTTTATTTGGAATTTACTCGTCATCGATTCGCAAAAATTTAATCTGGAAGAAAAATTTAGTCTTCTCATGATGACAGCCACTTTCTAAGACGTCTTTATTCCAATTAATACTAGTTGGTTAAATTTTATTAATTTTTCTATGACAGTATAGTTAAAGAGCAGCTTCTATCACTATTATTATATACTTTTCTCATATATATTATCATAACTAAAAAAATTTAATCTATACCATTTGTATTGGTTTCAGTTCTATTTAGTAAAATATATATAAGAATGAGAAATTATAATTGGCTTAGAAATACTCACATTAAATTTATTTGTATAAATGTTTGTAATACCTATATTTATAGTGCCTTTAAGAATATTCGAAGTTCGAAGAAATTAAGATATGTTTTATTACATTCATCATCAGTTTCAATGCTTTTGAAAGTATGGTTAAAGATCGACTTTATCAAACATGAAATTGTTGAATTGGTTTTTGTCAATCATATACGCGTGACATTTTTTTTCTTTGATACATTTTTAACTAAATTACCTAATAAAGTTATCATGGTCGTTGTGAATATTTTACTAATCGTGGCAATTAACGTGTTAAATATTTGTAAAATATATTATTAAACTTTATTTTTGATATTTTAGAATATAAATTATTACATTTTATTTTCAAGAGTAAAAATATTATTTCAAGATAAAAATATTATAAGATATATTGAAAAACTATAGTCGTCTCAAGCTCTGCGGGCAAAGCCCAACTTGATCTCTTATTGTTTTAAATGTTTCAGATAACTTTTGTATAATAAATAACTTTTTATTGTTTATTAAAAATTGGAATATCAGTATTACATTACTTGTAATATTATACAAGTCTGGTGGTTTATTTCACAAGTGAACTTAAAGCCGAGCCACAAAACAATAAAAGAAATATGCTTTGGAATTTTTTGAGAAATAAATTATAAAAATACTTGAAAAATAATTCGTTTTATTTGCATTAGAATTAGAAAAACAAAAGGAAAAATAGGGTATTATATCTGGAAAAACTTTGCTCATGGTTTATACATTCATACATACAAATATATTTGTATATATATATATATATATATATATATATATTCAGTATTGTACGTGGGTATGCATATTTATAAGAATGTTTGGCTCTATCAATACCTGTATTCATATATATCACTCTTATTAGTGGGGGACTTGAGGCTGTATAACCTTTCACAAACTGACAAATCAAGAGAAATTCAGTTTTTGCTCATTCTCTGTGCAAGCTTTATACGCTTAGCACATACAAAAGTAACAAATTCGAAGAAAAAATATTGTCCTCTTAATAAGAAATTTTTGGTAGTGTTAACAAATTTAGAAAAAAATATTTTACAATGAGGAGGTTTGCTCTAGGATTTTGTTTGCTGGTCGGTTTAGTTGGTAAGTGAGAACTTGGATTTAGATTTTTGTACTAACTACATTTATATGAAGTGAATATATATATATATATATATATATATATATATATTTGTTGGTGATTATAATATGTATATCTGTTTGTGACTGGAACATAGGCTAATTTCTTAGTGCTTGTGGTATAAATTTTCCTGTTTTACAATTATTTTTCTTAAATAATTTTATAAATAATTAAGGTTGTAGTATATTATTATAAAAATATTTTAGATTTAAATAATTCATATACCCACTATGTGAGAATTGATAGGCTCGGCATGTGCATTACTATTATGCATTGCACATATTGCATTATGCATCGCATGCAGGAAAGAATGAAAATTTTTAACTTCCTAGTACTAATGTGTTACCTAATATGTTATGGTAATATCAATAATTGTAATTGAACAATCACACGAATACCAACATATTCAACCCATGCATTAAGTGAATAAATTAATAGTTACTTTCTTACTATACTTGGGGATTTTCTTACTATACGTGGGGATTTGTTAATTTTGGGACCGGTAATTTTTTTGAAAACTTTTTTTTTAATTTTTTCATTACTAATTAAATAGCAATCAAAATAATAGCATCTTATAAGCTACTGGGATGGATTTGTACTCAAAATGTTCATAAATATGGCTTGTTTAGGTAACTCTTTGATGAGAGCCTTGATTACTTCAATTAAATCAATCAGTGAAAACATTTTTCAAAAATTAATTTTAATTATCAAAAAAATATTTGTGCATTCCAAATTAGATATAAACTTTTTTTCTGATTTATAATATAATATAAATAAATTATACCTAAATTATTATAATTTAACTTTTTTAATCATGTGATAAACTTTTCGATTTGGTTTTCATTTTTTTGTCGACATAGAATATAATATATTAGCTAAACCTGAAGATGCTTTACTGAAAAAAGATTATGTGGTCAAAAATTAATGATGATACGTTATTTAATAATTATGTATATATACAAATATTTCTAATAGCATTTGGATAATAACCTAACTTGTGATCAAAATTAGTCCTTGTATTAAAAAGTATGTAAGTAAGTAATGACTATAAAAATATGAAGCGGGGACGACAAAAAAGGTTTTGGTATTATAATATTAGACAGAAAAAGTTTAAAAACTAATGAAATATTAAAAAATATATATTTATATTATTATATATATATATATATATTTATATTCTGTAAAGCGAAGTAAATGCGTTTACGCATGCCAGACTAGGTCTTTTGTCTGGGTATGACGGAGTTAATACCGCTTGGGTATAAATTGGTAAATGGTAATATCGACTAAAACTTCCGCTTATCTTTTGCCTCTTATCTTCAAGGAAACCGTTGTTAGTCATTACTTTGTGGGGGAAGGATCTAGAATGCTATGATTATTTCTTTTAAATATACTTTCCTTTCAATTAGTGCCATTTGCTCTTCTTTTATCCAAAGGTTGCAAGCCTATATTTAAGTATGTATGTATGTATGTATTATATATATGTATATATATTAAGGTGGTCCTTAATATGGACATTTTCGAATTTTCTTGCTCCCAAGGGCTCAAATGATTCCAAATTGATAAAAAACAATTCTCTGAAATTTTTAGCTCTTAATATTAATTTTTAGATAGTGCGCAATTCTATCAAACTTCGTATGAAAAAGGCATAGAAAAAATTTGAAAGTTAAAAAAATTTTTTTTTTAGGTATAACTTAGCGACAAATGGATTAAAAGTGAAAGTTTTTGTCATTTTTTATTGAAAATCCGACGCCCTGCAAAATTTTTGAAACTGTTTTCATGCTATTTCCATACAAAACTTTGATTGAATTGCGATCTATCTAAAAGACAATATTAAGAGCTAAAACTTTCAGAGAATTGTTTTTTATCAATTTTGAACCATTTGAGCCCTTGGGAGCAAGGAAATTTGAAAATGTCCATATTAAGGACCACCCTAATATATATAACCTGTATAGCGTATCGTAGTAATTTTTTTACGATAAAACTACTCTAAAAATTTATTCACAATAGGTTTTGAAGACAATTCAAGATGTGTAATATGATATACCGGTTTTTCTGCACGTTTGACATTAAAAATTTACACACAAATACCGACTAACTTGTTAATATATATACACTCAACGACATACTGAATTTTACATAATAAGATTGCGCAAAATGCTTTCAAATGTCGCGCGAAAGTTTATTATGCTCAGGCAGGTTCGTACTAGTCGATTCACAATAAAATAAATAATTGAAATAAATATTAATAAAATTAATAATATTGATGATTATAGTATTTATTTTCAATTTTACATAAATCATAAAAGCAGAAAAAATATATCAACGCTTCGATTTGTAAATGATTGATATGGAATTATTTTTTTCTACATCGACTGTCATTACTGGTATTCGGTATTATTGATAAATTTATGATAATTCTAGGAATGTATTATTTAATTAAATTCTTTGTTCCGCTGTTGTATTTGCATAGCGTTTGTATTGTTAATTTATAAGGGAGGCATATAATAAAACAATGCCACCACATGAAATGATAAATTAATTTAAATATTAAATTTACTGGATGTATACTAACTACAATTCGATTCAATTGCTTTGATTAATTTTTGTGTAATAAAATTAGAATAAAATAATTTTGTAATATATTTGAGGTCCGTAGTTTAGAAAAGTACGGTTAAAGTTTCTTAAATTTTGCGAATGTCTCTAGACAGAAGTGAGTGTCCTTACAGTCCTTGAACAAAAGATTGCATTTTGCTATTTCACCTGTGATTGTTTAATTATAATAAATTGAAGTTGTCAAGTTGTTACTGTATATCGTAATTAGAAATAAGAATATTAAGCAGCATATTATATATATATATATATATATATATATATATATATAAGAGTGCGTAGAAATGCATTTGCATATTAAAAAAGTTGAAGGTCTAAAGGACACTTTAGCACAACAACCTTTGTGAAGAATTCCAGACTTCAAGAAGAACTTTTTGTGTTATTTGCTAAACAAAACATAAGTTGGGCATAATGCTTATATATATATATACATATATATATATATATATATATATATATATATATGTGTGTGTGTATATATATACGTATATCTTTTTGTGTTTTCAAAACTGTTGTAAACGTTTAATATATGCACATATAAATTCATCTTCTGATTTTGTTAGTTCGAAATTTTTCTTCCATTTCTCTTTCGGTATTTTGTTTATATATTCAATATGCACATATGCGAATACATGTATACATGCACCCATACACAAATGTATATGGATGCATACATTTCGGGTAGGGCGGGACACAAAGGTCCAATTTGACTTTGACCAATTATATTGTGAGAACCAAACTAATTATATCATAACAAATAACACATATCAAACAAACAACTCTCTGACTATGTTCAGTAAAACTCCCAGCTCATCATTGTAGAAATGCGTTTCGTTTTTCTGTTTTTCAAAAATTTGTCACCTGGATCTATGAGCGGGGTAAAATGGGACTACCAGAGGACATACAGTTCTAATGTGTTATTTTTAATTTTAAAGAATTTGCCTAAAATAATAGCTACACAATTCTATGCAAAATATACATGTTGTGGGTACAGTTTTTTTACTGTATAATCTAATCTCGTTTTGGTATTTTATCAAAAATATTTATCAGCAGATTTAATTTATCTATATTTTTTAAATTGCTTTTTTATACTTAATTTACTATTTTACAATTTTGCATTGTTCACATTTTTGTTGCTAATTTGTACTTACAAATTGTATTTAAGTTTCGTGAACTAAAGAACAGTGCTCACAACCAAAAAATCTAACAACGAAATGGATTTTCGAAAAATGCCGTTTATCTCGCGATAGCAACGTCGTAAGAATGAAATTGATGACTGGTTACACATTTTTTTCCTCTACTTTTAAATATTGTTATTAAAAAAAATTTTAAGTACACTTATTTTTGAGATATTGGTGGTGGACCTTTTTATTCGCGGACCTTTAAGCCCATTCAAGTCTAAATATATATATATATATATATATATATATATATATATATATATATATATATATATATATATATATATTAATATATATTTTCCAATAGCATTCAATATTTTTTATTATTTTAAAAGTGAATGAAGAATTCTATGAATTTGCATATTAACTCAAATTTTATATTATTTAATAATTTATTCATAAAATTAGCAAATTTCTTGGAAAACAAAGTAGGAAGTTGAAAACCTGTTGTCAATTTCTATTTAACTATCTATATTTTTAATTATATTCTGGAATTTATATAATTAATTATAATTTATCTTGAATGCTACACATGTATGCTATTTTCATTTTTATTTTTAAGAATATGCATAAAAGATTGAAAATATTAGGATAATTGTCTCAAACATTATGAAAAAATATATATCCACTATGACTATTCTACCTATAAATGCAATTCAATTTATTCACTTGCACATTTACTAATTTTTTCATTGTAGATTTGTTTCGTTTATCTTTCATTTATCGCAATTTATCAAACCGTACATTTTTTAAATCATCATTACATCCGTAAATTTCTTCATATATTCGACAACCCGTTTTATGCAAAAAATTATATAAAAAATACATATTTTAATTTTATTCAAAATTCATATTAATAGCATATTAATGCTTTCAAACAAAACCAGCCAATGGATTTCTACTTGACATTTAATCATACCCTTTATAAAACAATAAGGTCTATGCATTTAATACATTTTAAATATGTAGTTTTTTAGCAACCATTGATAAAATTTTGTTTTATCAAATTTTTGATTTTGTTGACAAATAAAATTTTAACAATTTTTACGTCTCATTTTTGTAAACATTTATTTTTTTTAAATCTAATTAGTATTTTTAATAAAATGAATTTAATTTTTATATTCTTATTATTGAATATAGTGGAATGGATTGGTATGTATGCAAAACAACTAATTATGATATTCTATATTATAAATTATTAATTAATTATTAAAATTATAAAATAGGATTACTTCATTAAATAATAACTTACAGATAAATTACAGTTATAATTTTTTGATAAGACATGTACCACTATTTAAATAAAAGTTTTAAAGTTTAAATATTGGAAATAATTTTTAACTCAATACTACTGGATACTATTTATACATTATTATCGACTTCATTATCAATAATTGACGTATTTTTTTTATTTTATTATAATCATTGCATTTTTGCAAATTTTCATTATATTGTACTATTTTGCACAGTAATAACTTTAATAATATCTTATTAAAGTACTAAATGTATATTATTCGATGATAATAGCACAAGTAACAATAATAATTAATAAATATATTAAAATACATTAAAAGTATGTACTATTATTTATTATATTATATACCTCTTCTTTATCTTTATCTTTATTATATCATAATAATAATAATGAATGATAGTCTGCTCGAAGACAGGTCCATGGTTCGAGAGCCATCACAATAAATTATTCCTTTACCTCTTGTTTATTATTACCATTACCACTATTTATTTTCATATATTTTCCTTTCCGAACTTCTGCTTCCATGCTTCTTGATCCTGTGCCTCGGCTTTCAGTTTCCTGTATTTTCTCTTCTCGCGTAAGACGTCAATCATTTGCATTATTCTTCTTTCCATTCATTTCAGTCCTTCTATTTTATTCTCGACGACGTCGTGTACGACAATAATACGTCATATATTTTACAGTAATAAAAGATATATTGTATGATATACTATCTTTATATATCCTATATACTATCCAATTTTCTTTCTTCTTCCACTTTATCTTCTAACCTTGTTTCTTTTTTGAACACCTAACTCAATTATATCTCAAAATCTACTTAATTTCAATCTAACTAATCAAAAAACATTTCTAAGACCGTTTCAGAACTCGAACCGAGTATCCCTGGCATGTGAGCCAAGCGTGCTACTGAGTGAGCTATTCCCGTCATAATAAATTAAAAAATTAAATTTTCCATAAGCTTAATAATTTATTTGTCATATACCATACAATAATAAAAGATTTATTGTATCATATACTATATTTATATATTCTATACTGTTCGGGCGTTTTTTCGTTTTATTATATTGGCCATGAAGGTGACAAAACTTCAGGGCATTAAGCTGTACACGGAATGGTTGCTACGCCTGGTAGAGGCGGTAGCGGAGTATTTTATTTGAACTAGTTGTACACTTCTAAAAGTTAAGTCCGCTTAACATCATGCAAATAACCAATAAAAATAAATATATTTTTTTTCATTATAACTTAGTAACAAATCAGTGATTGTAATTAGAACCGCAACAAATACTATATAATATACAAACAAATCAGTGTTTAATACAGTCCACAGCTACAAGGGTTAAATTATAACCCAACAACCTGAATTATCGAAGGAGAGTTTTAATAAATTCGTTACAAAACTACGTAACAAAAATACATATACTATCCAATTTTCTTTACAACTGACTTATATTCTACTTTTATTCTTCTTTATATTCTAACCTTGATTCTTCTTTTAACACCTAACCCAATTATATCTCAAATTAACAATTTAAAATCAAATTAATTTCAATCTAACTAATCAAAAAACAATTCTACGTCCGTGCCAGGACTCGAACCGAGTATCCTTGGCATTTGAGTCGAGCGTGCAACTGAGTGAGCTATTCCCATCATAATAATGATTATTATTGAAATGAAATTAATTTTTTTGTTGTATTTGTAAATCTGTAGTCTTTAATATTTTATTTGTTTCTTCTTACAGCAGCCCAAAAGAAATCGGCAGCAGCCGATTACGAATGTCCCCTAAATCCTAAGACTGGTCAGTACCGCGATGGTCAGTACGAGCATGCGACTCAGTGTGATGCCTTTTACGAGTGCATCGATGGTTCTGCCAAGCTGAAGTACTGCCCGGACGGATTGGTCTTCGATTCCACGATAAGGCTGGTCAACAAATGCGATCAACCTTTCAACGTTGACTGCGGCGATAGGATAGAATTACGTAAGTAGTTGATAAATTATGGTGTATAAACTCTTGTTAATCATTTGTTATAGAGATGGTCGTATATTCTTCAAAGTTTGTTCCAGTGATTCTAGTTCATTTTATTCTTATTATAAATAGCAATATGTTTCCAAGTGAAAATAGCCCTCACCCGGCATTGTTGCACCATACTTGCCCTACTACAGAGATTGTAATATAAATTTCTCGTACAGAGATGTGACAACTGTTTAGGTTGCCATCTGTAATAAAACAAACGTAGTTTGTAAGATCTGAATCACAACACCTCATAGAACCCATAAGTTCTGATCGCTGTTCAAATAAATAAAAAAAAAAATTTTATGATGAAAATTATTAGGTTGGCAACTAAGTAAATGCGGATTTTTATTAGAAAATCAAAGATAAGTTTTTATGGAACTAAACAACTTCATTTTCTTGTGTATTGTCCATTATGACCAATGACTTTTTGTCACCTTTCAAGCAGCATCATCATCTCACTTTTATAAACCTTCTGGCTTTTATTAGCAAAAAACTGAATCAGATATGATCATTGAGTTGTTTACCATTCAAGGAGTTTCGTAATGAATCTTTACGAAAGATCAAAACAAAATTATAGGAACGTGTAACATCAAGACTATTAAGGGGATGTAGCAAAACATCCCAACCGAGCTCTAATAATTTTTGCCGAGATATGTGATATCAGTAATTGAATAAACCACTGTTTCTATTTGCCAATTCATGTTGCTTTCTCAACTGCATTGTTCAATTTCGTCTGTTGTTTAATGTAGACATCATAATTGATCATTCGTTTAATAATAATAATCTAAAGAAGACAATTTTTTTAATCAACTTCAACTGGACTTACAGGGAATTTTGAGTAAAAAATTACCAGAACAAAATTTGGCACTGCATTTTCTAACGCTTCGTCACAATACACAACTCATAACTTTTCACGAGCTTAAGATGCTTCTTTACCATTGCAGAAATGAAAAAACAAAATATTGTGACGAATTAGGTTGATGTCCCGCTTCTTGGTGGTTGCAACGACTGCCAAACATTATATCTTAGCATTGCATCCCCATTACAAAAGGGTTACTCCAACACCTCAACTTGACTTCTATAAACACCCTGTAATTACCTGTGGAGCTAACATCACTAACTACACGAATGAAACAGAATGCACTTTTATCTTATTTGATTATTCTAATTATGATTACCGGTGTGAGGGCATGACTGCACCTACGTACAATCATGTCCTGTGCCTAAACTCTAACGTACTGATAAATCTTTATTAATTACTAACGGAGTAATATAACGACGGATTAACGAACTGACGGATTAACGAACTGACGGAGGGAATAGCTACTATACAATACAATCTGACCTTTACTGTAACAGGTTCTTCTTACCTGGCCTAACACACACACCACTATACACTAAGCGGGTCCAGAGACTGGACCCGAACGATCTCCTCGGAGGATGTCACATTTTCTAAAGCCTCTTTTCAACCCTCGACTTGAACCTTATATCGCAGGAAATCAAGTAGAGATGAGTGGGGGAGTCTATTTGCACCGATGGTTGTGCAACCCTTTGACGACAATGCCAATTGTCGTTACAATATTCAAAAAAAAAACTAAACTGTCTACTATATCGTTTAGAAAAAGGTATTATTTTACCTTTGGTCTACGTCAGCAATCCTAAAATTTTACTCAAGACTGTTGAAGACCGCCCTTACATAGTTTCCAGCCCAATACTATCTACTTTTTCCCTATTTTCTATGAGTAACTAATGTTTATGTGCGTCGAACGTGATTTTCTCCATACTTGCAAAATAAAAATTAATTTTAACAAAACAAATAAATTCTAAATATTTAATTATTTATATTGTTGCCAAAACACTTCATAATGCCATTTTAAAAGCACGCAATTTAATCCAGCTGTTGTGAGCTCAGAGCTTCTGTCACTTCTTTCTTTTGTTACAAAAGCAATAACTTATGAAATCTGACAGTGGAATTTGCTGCAACCCACATGAGTGTGCAAAGTTCTTCGGCATACATATTGCTAACATACAAGACTCGATATCAAGCAGTATGATATCAAATTTCCTCTTGACATAATAGATTCCTAATATAATGTTAAGTCAAAATCTTTTTTTGGGCATTTCTGTAACGTATACAAGCCGGGTCTATTAAATATCATAGTCTACACGTAAAGAAGGTTAACCGTTGGGTTGCCTACACAAAAAATACTTGTTTGGGATGTACGATGGAAATCGTAGAAGCTGAGGAGTTTAGAATGTACGATAGAAACTTATAGAAGCTCTGATCTCTGTTCACAATAAATATTTCAACAATTGTACAATTCCTTATTATGTATAATAGGTCGCTGCGTGCATTTCCATCAGTATAATAGGGCTATAATATACAAAGTTGTTTTTCAAGTAGTTTTTGAATTTATAAACTTACAGAGTTATATCAGTTTTTTTTCAACTTAAACTTTTTAGTTCAAGAAAATTATTATTTTTTACGGGAAGCCACGTGGTGAGAAATATTTATATTATTATAAGAAGTTCAATTTTTGCAGCTATTATAAGTCATTGCAATAATACGTTAAGCGTTTGCTAAAATTTCTAATACCTAGTTTCTAAATTATATAATTAGCATAGAAATTTAAAGTAAACACTTACAAATCAATGGCCTGGAACCAAATATCGTATTATAATTTCTCTGGAACGCTATTTGGAGAAGGTCTCTTTTCATTAAAAGAGTCGCGTTGTGCTATAATAATAAACGATTAGAAAGTAAAAGCAGAATTTCGATTGATTCACTTGATTGATCATGATTTTATACTCAATTAATTCTATAAGCTTATTCTATGTGCAATATTAAGTTATTGTAGATTGTATTTTATTAGCGAATGTTAATGCGAATTGAAATTTTTGTACTGAAACGAAAGCAGATGATCATATTTATCACAATACATTCTGGCTCACCGGTTGATATGGCGAAAATCCTTTATTTTATCTTCATAGCACCTTTAAATATGAAACTTTAGCTCATTTAATTTTTTTGTTTCAGAGCCTCCTCAATCCACTCAATTGTGTCCACGCAGAAATGGATTCTTTGCTCACCCCGACCCAGGCGTATGCAATATCTTCTATAACTGCATTGATGGTGACGCCACTGAAGTCGTCTGCACCGCCGGACTGCACTTCGATGAATACACTGGAACCTGCGTATGGCCCGACACTGCCAAGAGGGAAGGATGCCACGCTCAAGGAAGTGAGTGATGATTAAAGACATAGATATTGTAATATTCTTAACTAGTGATGTATATAATTTTTTTTTTAATTTCAATTTTTTTTGAAAATTTTGAAAAAAAATTTTTTTGAGAATTTTGATTTTTTTTTAATCTTTTGAGAATTTTGATTTTTTTATTTTTTTGAAAATTCTGATTTTTTAGCACTTCTAAAAACATTTAAAAATTAAAAAAATTTTTTTTTGAAGCGATCACGTAGCTGTTTTAGAGGCAAAATATTAAAGCTTTTAAACGCCGCTTTGTAGTCTAAAGGTTAAACCAGTGGTTTCCAACTTTTTTGCCACGCGCCCTCTCGCTCTTATAACAAAAATGTTGCGTCTCACTTAATTTTTTCAACAATTTAATTTTAAAAATACTGATATTATCATACTACAAATTATTATGCATTAATATATAAAAGTATGCATAAAAACTGATTATTTTCTGTTTACATTTTAATATCATTTCAAAAATTTTGGGTTAATTTTGAAAATAGTATCCCGGAAATAGATGAAAGCGCCCCCCTAAGGAGGCGCGGCCCACATGATGGAAACCGCGAGGTTAAACAATATAAATTGTTGTACACAACCCATAGAAGTGTAAACAAAATTTGTACTTATTATTAAAATCTCTATAAAATATCTGATAATTTGATGTGCATATGTCTAATGATCATTTTTGACTGCCAAATGACATTCTTTACTGGATTTATTGGATTTTCGAAACCCCTTGACCTTACATCCCTAAAGTTTCAATAATTTTTTATTACAATACAAGTGAAATGCTTTTTAAATCATTCAAATCGGACACTTCGTTCTCTGAAAAACTAATTTACCATTTTTTGCACTTTTTGCCTCGTATCTTCGAAACGGCTCGACCTGCCTTTGCCAAAAACTAATTAGCACGTCTCTCTATCAATAACGAATCAAATGTTTTTTGAATAATTCAAATCGGTTGATGTGTGCTCTCAAAATCGTGAGCGCGGATCCACCACATAATTTTTTTCTAAAATATTCCAAATGTTCATAAGCCCTTAAAATGTGTAGGTAAACATACATTGATTACAATAATGTATTTACACTACATGTAATATTGTCACAATACAAGTGATAAGCGAATAGTATTCGGTAATGGGTCTGGGTTATATACCCTAACCTAAACAACGTAGACGTTTTCTATTGGCCATTGTACCATTGGTTGCCATCCCTATGGTGGTCATTTGGAGGGTCGCTACAAATGTAAAGATAAATAAGAGATTACCCAACAGGAATTTAAAAATATCATCGTTATAATTACTAATATCAATGCTGTTACTTTGTATATTGTAAATGCTATTTATGAATCCAAGACCATAGTGTCACAACACTACATTTTACTTACCTGTATCCCTTTTTTGCTTAAAGTTCAGTTTTTACTTCTAAAACTTCAGTTTCTATGCTCAAATGTCCTCAAATTTATAAGAAATTATTTTATAAGTAAATAGTAAAAATTTATATAATTATCAATAAATATTATGAATATTATATCGAATGGGAAAATAACTATTGAGTTGTTTTTCCAACATGCCCCTTTAGTATACAATGTCCCTTTACTGCCGACAATTGTAAATTCCACAAATTTATTAAATGTCCTTAACTGAACAGTTGTAAATAAAAGACAGAATAAAAAAGTACAGTTTCAGTCCTATTTTTCATTCAATGGCATCTTGGAAAGAGTCTATTTTCTCAATTTGAGTCCGATCCAGTTTTCTCTTCACTTTTTAATTGTATGCAATAGTTCTTTCAACTTCCACTATCTGCTATGTTTCTGCATCCAATTCTAAATATCAGTATGGGTGTTCTAGCATACATAATAGGCTCCTCCCTGGTACTTAAACGATTTATACATCATTTTGCAGGTGTTTTGAAAAAAATTCTGATATACCAATTATTAATTCTCATCATTTGGCCGAGATACCGATTTAGTCTTCTTAAATATGGTGTTGATACTATTAATGAAACTTTAATGTTTGACAATTTGTACATAAATATATTTATTGTAAATTAGTAAGTATTTTTTGTTCATGTATTTCTTAAATTTTAGAGAAACTAAAAGACGGCTTCGAATGCCCTGATGAAGTGCAAACAGACAGTTTAGGACAAGTCCAAGCTCATCCCAAATACGCCCATCCAACTGATTGCCAACGATTCTACGTGTGTTTAAATGGAAACGAACCTAGAGATTTAGGATGCCAGGTTTGTAATTATGGCTTATTATATTAAATTAATTATATTAATTTATTGCAAATACATTAGCAACTTTACAATTTTTTAATTTCTGAATTTCCTCAGGTTGGCGAAGTATACAATGATGAAACTCAAAGGTGTGATGCTCCCGAAAATGTTCCCGGCTGGTAAGCTACAATTTCTTTAATATTCTGCAAAGTTTTTTGCTTATAACTGCCAATATATATTTTTCAAATTTTTACGTTTTTACAAGTTGATTAAATAATATATTATAAATCAATATAACATGAGATTAATATTAATATACTTTTAAGTGTACATCATCTTATCTTGTGATCATCTATTTTTACAGTGAAGACTGGTACAAAGACTCCGATGAACCAAAAGCTCAGAAGAGCCCTTCTAAATCAAGAGATGATTAAGATAGTAAGCACCTTTGGTATTTAAATAAAAGCTGATTGTAAATGCTATTATAAATAGCTAAAATTAAAAAGTGCATACATTATTGTATGCAAAAATCTTAGACAAAATCATGACTATTTAAATCCAAATTAATTTTTATTATCAAAATAATTTTATAATTATATATTATAAGCCAGAAAAAAATATAAAAAGTGTGGTTTCAATATATTAGTTTTATTCTCACCTTGCATTCGTAGTAATTCGTAGAAAAACTGTTTCTGTTGAAACGATTTATATAAAATTTTATCATATATAACTAATATATTAAGTCATTGGTTGCTGTGATAAAGTTACTTACTGTTCTGCTAAAAAAATATTTCTAAATGCAATTAAATTTCTTTACTTATTTGTCAGATTTATGCCAGCGATAAATTAAAATATTTTCAATTATTTCATTTTTTCTGAAAATGTTTTATAACAAAATCTAGAAGTTAATTCTTCATGCTGCTTGCATTTTTCAAATTATATCGTAGCATATAAAATTATTTGAATTTATTAGCTTTTAATTATTCAACTTTTTGATGTTTATTTCAGCATTGGGTACTACGATGTTTATGTTGTCTTTATAAGAGTTGGGACGAAGAAAAAAAGATAAGCTAAAGATCAAGTTTCCATCAAAGATATATCCATCAAAGATATATTTGGAAATGCTCTGATCAACATTAAATAACAGTTAGTAACAAGAAATCTTTTTTTAACTTCCCGTAGTGTTAAGTATTTTTATAGTAATCGTTCCAAAATCGAAATCAAACATTTTTACATTTCTCGACGTTTGAAGGGTTTCTGAACATTTTGGCATACCTCAGAAAAAATGGATTGGGGGTTGTGTGTGTTTTGATGTCGCGTTTTTTCGTCCACGTTTTTTCGCGAGCTTTCGGCGCACGGATCAACCGATTTGAATGGTTTAAAAAACATTCGATCCTATTGATAGGGAGATGTGCTGATTAGTTTTTGCAAAGGCAGGTCCAGCCGTTACGGAGATATGGAGCAAAGAGTGCAAAAAATAGAAAGCGAGTTTTCCAGAGAGACGAGAGGATTGAGAACGGATCAACGATTTGAATGGTTTAAAAAAACATTCGTTCCTATTGATAGGGAGATGTGCTGATTAGTTTTTGGCAAAGGTAGGCCCAGAGGTTTCGGAGGATACAGAGCTAAATTTAAAAAAAATGGCTGTTTTTGAGAGAAACTAAGCGTCCGATTTAAATGATTCAAAGAACTTTCTGCTTTTTTCAACAAAATAATTGATTTTGGAAAAAAAATTTTTTGTTTCTAATTTTTTTTTCAAAAATTTTTTTTTGTAATTTTGGATAAAAAATTGAAAATATTACCCAAGCTAAGCACAGTCTAAGCGCCACTCTGGTACAAATGTTACACCCAAGTGCGTTTAGGCTGTTCCTGTACCGGAGCACATTTCCAATTTTGTGAAAATTATTGAAAAATGTGAAAATGCCGCCAAGATGAGCACAGTTATAATGAAAATGTCGCACAGAATATTTGCAAATGCGTTTAGACTGTGACTATGCGGGAGCACTTTTTCAATTTTGTGTAAATTTGGCAAACAATTTTTTTTTGAATTTGATTCGAAATGAAATGACGATTGTTAATGTTCTGAGATGATAAATTGATTTATTTATAATTAACTTTCCATAGGTAAGTAATCGCAAAAAAATCGAAAATGAAAATTTTTATATATCTTTTGACGTTTCAGAGGTTTCTGAATATGTTGGCATACCTTGGAGAAAATTGATGTATGTGTGTGTGTGTGTGTGCGGCATGTGTGTGTGTTCGGATACAAATTTTCGTCGGGAACACGGATTTCGGGACACGATGAAGCAATTTGAATAATTCAAAAAAATATTCTAGCCGTTCCGAAGATATGGGGCCAAAAAGGACAAAAACGGTAACTCAGTTTTTAAGAGATTTGTATAGTTCAAAAAAACATTTACTTGTATTAACAAGATGTAGATAGATTGATCAAATTTCATGAAGATAGGTCTAGCGGTTTCAGAGATCTAGTAAAAAAAACTAAAAAAAATAACATTTTGGCGGTCAACAATAATCATTAGACATAGACATTGCATATCAAATTACAGATTTTATTGAGATTTTAACAATAAGTATAGTTTGTTACATTCCGTAGGTTCCGTACCAATGTTTTTCCGTTTAGACAGCGACGCGGCGCTTACGCGCTTTATATGTTGGTTCTATGCTGTTAAAGCAGTACGATTGCTTGAAAAAAGTTCAGATCTCCAGATTCTTCCAAAATATATCAAAATGAAGATAACATTTTTTCCAAAAAAAAATTTTTATAAAAAAATTGTGTTAAAATTTTTTTTTAAAAAAAAAAAAATTTTTCAAAAAAAAGTAATTTTTTGTCCAATTTAAAATTTCTAAAAAATCTTATTTTTTCGAAGTAAAATTTTTTGCAAAAATGTAATCGTTTTTAAAAAAATAATAATTTTGGCACGGGAAGTTCCAGCAATTTGCCTTAAGGCACGATGCCTTAATTGCCCTTAAGACAGAATTCCACTTACAGCTAGTTAATTTTTTTTTTTTCCTTCATCTAAATAATTTTTTCCCCTGTGAAATTATGTATAAAATTACAATACATTATATTATTTTCAGTGCAAAAATACGTATATTACATAAATGTAAGAAGGAGGAAATAGTTTCATCAATTTTATTTGTTATTACATATTCTATTGTAGAAAGTTTTAAGTTTTTAAAAATTTTTTTTAATTTTTTGTGCTGTTTAATAATAATTAAGTTACATAATAACCCCAGAAACGTAATTGCTTCATATAATTGAATTGCTTCTTGCAATATATTTTCAATAGAGCTATTACATTTTCAATGAGCTTTTGCATATAAATAGTTTCTATTAAAGACTCTTATTACGTACGCTCCTTTTACTGAGCTAAACAATTTTAAAGAAATAATACTTCCAGGTTTTCTTCATATACTTAATTTTGCTTATGGGGCGACTCTAGAAGTGTATATTTTAAAAAAAGAATGGTGGATGAAAAATAAGGGCAATTATTTTAATTCCGTTAAAGAAAAAAAATACATCAAAAATAGTTTCGTATAAATGCTAATGTTTAATATTTATATTTCGAAAAGACGCACTGTTTTTTGAAATTATTTTTTAACTTCGATAACTTACCCCAAATATAGTGATCGTCTAAAATCGAAAATGATATCTTTTGCATATTTTTTACATTTCAAGACCTTCTGAACATTTTGGCATA